TCCAACTGCTTAAGCGGTTCCAAAAACACACCTTCCCTGAAGTTCCATGAGCTCAATGTTATTTTTAGCGGGAATGCAGCACGTGGGAGCTTACGCAAGGGTACCAACAACGCTGGGCCAGCTACGCTATACGGTAGTGTTAGCCTAGCGTAGTGTAGCGCAAATACGCTACATTGTAGCGTAGTGTTAGCGCAGATTTCTGTATCTGCGCTAACGCTACGCGTGTGGGCCGCAAAAAAGGGCCCACTACGCTGCGCTACAGCACATTTTAGCGGTTTTTTGGCCGTTTTTGCCGCTAAAAGCGCTGTAGCGCAGCGTAGCGTAGCGTAGTGGCACTAACAGCGCGCTAACACTACAGGTTTGGCGCGCTGTTCCGAGGGCCGCTACGCTAACGTTAGTGGGCCATTTAGCGTAGTGTAGCGTAGCGGCCCACCGTTGGTACCAATGCCATCGAAGCCGAATCCAATCAGGAGTCTCCCCCAGATGCGATCAACAACGGGCAGAATCTTCCAAGCACTGCACCTCAAGAAGTGAGATCGGCCCGACCCGGGGTGCGCCCTCCTCGCAAACACCGTATTTCCTCAGGCGATCGCTTTGAAAACACGGTTGAACGATTGATTGATGCATTTATATCTCAAGATGACAATACCGCTCAGAAATCCACAATCCACAGGGCCATCGAGAAGTTTCAAGATCACTTTGCTGAAGGTCTGGACATGGACGACATGGTCACCGGATTCAGCATATTGGAAAATGAGGCTAAGGCAAACACCTTCTTGGCTATTCGAGATCACACTTACTGCCAGGCCTGGTTGAACCGACAGATTCAAAACCATCACTCAACCACCTATTAGATTTAATATTCATTGCATTTTCTGGTCGTCGATTGTGTCTCTTTTTTTGAGAGTTTCATCTAAATGTTTGTATTTCTCTTCAAAAGTGATGAAAATCTTTCTTCACATGTCATAAAAGAAATCAAACACATGAATAGAAAACAAGAATCCAAAAACCGAGATCTATCTGACACTGTGAGCTTTGAATGAATAGAAAACAAGAATTTAAAAACCGAGATCTATCTGTGAGCTTCGATATAAGTACGATATTGAGTCCACATGTCCTGGGCTATCTGATCTCTCCAGGCATTATTTTGTGCTCGCTCTTGAGCCTGGCTTGCAGGGAGCTCATCCTCATCACTGTCCTCGTCAGGTGGCGGATCATCCTCACCAGTCGCTGCTCCCTGCTCGTTGGCATCTATGATAAACTCAACATTATACCCTCGATGGTCTACTATAAAATTGTGTAGCACTGCAAGAGCCAGCACAAGATCTCTTTGGCACTCTAGGCTGTACTCTAAGGGGTGAACCAGGATCGGAAACCGTTTCTTCCACGTCCCAAAGGTTCGTTCGACCACATTTCGCATCATTGAATGTCTCAGATTAAACAGCTCCTCCTTTGTCTCGGGTCTGAGAGCAAGTACCATACATTAATCATCTGATCAGCAGAATAGATATGAGCAATAATCTACTGACCTCTGCCCTGCTTGTGCATTCTCGCGCAGATGATATCGCACCCCTCTGTATGGGACTAGTGTCCCCCTTGATAGAGAGTATCCTGCATCGGCAAGGTAGAATGAATTCGAAGGGATACTGAAGTCCTCCGACAATGCACTTCCGAGAACTTTGGAGTCATGAGCCGATCCCTCCCAACCAACCATCAGATAAGTAAACCTCATGTCAAAGTCGACCACACCAAGAATGTTCTGAGCTAATATTCCCTTCCGATTTCGATACGGGCCAGCTAGATCTTCAGGTACATACGCTGGGATATGGCAGCCGTCCATTGCCCCTAGACACCCATTGAAGAACGGAGTAAACTTCGGGTTGTCGAGAATCACTTCGTGCGTATATCTTGGATCCGGTGTGGTGATGTACTTTGATTTGAGATTGAGAAAAAGGTAAATGATGTGATGAAACACCCGCGATATTGTTTCTCCACTATGTTGAAATCGATCTTGTGTTTGACGGTTCGTTGCCTTCTGTCCAACAATGTACAAGAAAATAGCGAGTTGTTCATCCATGCTCAGCAGCTTTGAAGCAGGTTCGCAGTCAAGGGAATCCAATTCGGCCGCGCACTTTTTGAAGACGTTGATAGATAAACGAAGCATAGCTTGAGCCCGATGTCGATTGCCACTGAGGATGTGTTTGATGTATGCATCCCGCCGAATATGGCATCATTATATGGTTCCTTCGAAATCGTTCTTGCCCATTGACGAAGGCCAACAAGAGTAACCAAGAAGAGAATAAACCGACGCTTTCATTTTGACCGACCCTGCTGACGACGTTGAGTGGCCAGTGGACTTCTGAGAGAATTTTCAGCCATCAACACGTTTTTTGGTGTGGTGTTTGGGGATGGTAGGGATCGATCTTCTGTATTTGTAGGGATCTTCGGTATTTTCTATGGTCCACACCAAACACCTGATCGTTATAAATGGGACAGGTGTCATGGGCAATATATATCGATGACATTTGTTGAAATTTTGGATTATAACGGGGGCCCCATTTATAACGTATAACGGGGCGTCCAAACGGGGCCTTGAAAATCAGCAACCAAAGAGCAAATGAAACCCAACCGCACCTTGACCCACACAGACAAAAAAGGGACAAAATCTTGTCCAATTGGTGAAGCAGGGCCAGTGTAGCATCAACTCTGCTGTGTGGAACTCATCATCAACCACCAAAAATCGACCACCTTTTCCACCCTCCAAACATCAAATCCTAAAAAAAAAAAAACCTAAAAAAGTATCTTCAAGTCTTATTCTATCCTATTGATCTCGTAATCATCACATCTTCCTTTCCCATCCCTGTTTATCCCCTTCTCTTCCGACCTCTTTAAAAATTGAGTTTTCCGATCCCCCCAAAACCTCAAGGTTTCAACCTTATAAACCGGGTCGCATAGGTATTCCTATGCCTCCCAAAAATCATAACGGTTCTCGGGCCAACCAGGATGGTTGGTCAAAGAACATCGATATGGAGGAAATAGACTCCTCTGGGTCTACTGTTGACCGTTCTCACACTCCTGTCCAATCGGACTTCGCTAACAACCCTCCCCTTAACGAGTCCCGCCATAACCCTGAGAAGAGCTTCTTCAAAGCAATTGCGGAGGTCCTCGCTAATCGCAATCCTGATGGCAGTATTTACATACAGCCCGATAAGGTTAATACCTTAATTCCCCTCTTTGAAATTGAGAAGAGTGCTAGTGTTCAAACTCTATCGATGGTAGAGAAGATCACAGCTCGATTGGACTCGTTTGAGAGATCACTCAACTCCGTCGTTCATTCATCTTCCAAACCTTCTTCATCATGGGCTCCAGTCCCTAAAAAAGGTATTCCCCCCAAACCAATCTCTTCTACTACTGTTACTCGTCCTCCTCCCTCCAATCGAGTTCTTAATGAATTCAAGTCAGCTTTCTTTGTTATTCGCAAGTCTGTTCCAGACTCGCGACCTTTTTTTCAGATGTCTCCATCAGACATCACGATTAAAGTGAATAGTGTTCTTAAAGAAATTAAAGCCAAAACAGATGATGGTTCGGCTATTTCTATTAAAGGAGTTGCCCGTCTTCCGTCGGGAGATTTTAAGTTTTTTACTCAGACCCGTTTCTTTGCCAACTGGCTTCTCGAACACAAACATGTGTGGACTCATCTTTGCGATCCTACTCTCATCACACCTCCATCGATTTTTCCAGTTATCCTTCACTCGGTCCCAATTTCCTTTACCCCCACCAATCCATCATCCTTGGCTGACTTGTGTAGAGAAAATCACATTCACCCAGATCACATTCACAATGCCCGTTGGCTGGGTAACCCCCAAGCCAACAAGAAATCTCATGGTTCCTTGATTGTGAATTTTTGTGAAAAGGAACTCGCAAAAAAAATTGAAAAAGGTAGTCTTTTTTTTAATAGTCTTTGTCTTACAGGTGCCCACTATAAAAAAAGTCCTATTCAATGTTTTCAGTGCCTTGAAGTTGGTCATACCGCTCAATTTTGTAAAAATTCTCCGCTATGTAAACACTGTGGTGATGCCCACAATTCCAATGAGTGTAACGCTGATTTTAGCAATAGTAACTGTATTAAATGTATTCAGTACGAGAAAAAAAATAATCCTTCTTTTGTCCTAGAAGATGATAATGTTCTTTTTAATCATTCACCTATGAGTCTTAAGTGCCCTCTCAAAACTAAGAATTTCCGTCGTAACATTATTAATCAATGAGTAGTTACAACCCATTATCTTCAAACCTTTCCTTTTCCCAAAATCTTCATTCCAATACCTCGCCGTCTTCGCCGTCTTCATCCGATTCAGTTAATACTCCTTTCAAGATCCTCCAATTGAACTGCCATAATTCCTTTGACGTTACCTCCAATGCGCTTAACTCTGACTCTCATTTCGCCATCCTTGTCCTTCAAGAACCCTGGATCAACCCTCATACCTTAAGAATGCCCCACTATTCGAATTGGACTTGCATCCTCGATTCTAATCACTCGCCTTCTAATTATTCCGAAAAACACCGCACTTGCTTCTTCCTCGATAAATCGTTTGCATCTGAAGAAATCCATCTCATCAGGGATGGAAATCGAATCCTTTCAGCAATCGACCTTGTCATCAACAATGAAAAAATCCAGAAGATTCGTCTCATCAATCTGTACAATCCTCCCAGAACTTTTGAAGGCATCAAGATTCTTACCGACTGGTTAAATCAACACAATGATCGCCGCATTCCTTCATTTATTTTTATGGATTCTAATCTTCACCATCGCTCGTGGAATCCTCCTCAGTATAATCACACCCATCAACAGTCAAAAGACTTGATTCGCTCCTGTGGTCGACATGGTTTCAAGATTGTGTCAGAAAAAGGCATTCCAACTTTCATGAATAGGAGAACTAGTTCTACAGTTATTGATCTTACCTGGGGTAATTTTTCCGCTGTCAAGTTTATTGAATCATGTTGTACTTCGTCGATCAATTTCGGTTCAGACCACCAGGCTATTGTTCTTACTCTTAATTTTAATCCCCACTCGGTTCCAGTCACTAGATTATCTGTTGATCTTAAAAATGTAAATTCAGTAAAGTTTTGTCATGATCTTTCTCAATGTCTGGAAAAACTCAATAATGTTTCTCTTGATTGTAGTGATGATATCGATTCGTTTGTTGAAGAACTTACTATTTCTTTTCAAAATTCGATTGACCGTCAAAAAAGAACAGTTAATTCCAACGATTCGAAATTCAAGGCCTGGTGGGATAAAGATATCCTTTCGCCAATCATTCAGAAAAGAAACCAAGCCCGAAAATGGATGTTGATCGCCCATTCAGTTCAAGCCTCCGACTGTTATCGATCCTGGCAGAAGATTTTCAAAGACAAGATATTCGAGTTAAAACGCAACCACTGGAGGAAGTTTTTGGCAGAAAGCAAAGATCATCAGATCTTCCAAGCTTACAAGTTCACCAAACCCATTAGTAGCGGTAATATTGCTCCTTTATTGAATGAAAATAATGATCTTACTTCGGATAAAGAGGAGCAAGCTCGTCTCCTCTTTAAAGGCACTTACGAAGTGCCCATTAACTGTGATCTTGATGATATTGTCCCTCCATCCTTTACTAATCCTCTTTCCTTTCCCGACATTTCTTTTCCCGAAATCGATAACATTATGTCTAACCTTCCAAAAAAAAAAGCGAGTGGTCATGATGAGATTGCTAACGAAATTCTTATTTTAAGTAAAAAAAATCGTCATTCCTTTCCTTATCAAACTCTTTTCAGCATGCCTCAAGCTAGGGTACTTTCCTTATCGCTGGAGGCATGCGATAACTGTTATTATTCGAAAAGCAGATAAAGACTCATATGCTAACCCTGGTTCATATCGTCCAATTGCATTACTTTCCTGTCTGGGAAATTTTTTTGAAAGTTTATTGACAAAAAGGATCACTTACTGGGCTGAGAATAATGATGTTATTGCGCATGGCCATTTTGGTGGCAGGGCAAATCGTTGCACTGATGATGCTAATCTTTTTTTATCTTCCTGGATCCGGCAAAAATGGCAAGAAAAAAAAATTGTCTCAGCTCTCTTTCTTGATGTCAAATCAGCTTATCCTTCAGTAATCAAAGATCGATTAATTGACACACTCATCAACAAGAATATTCCACCTTACCTTGCAGCAATCGTTCAGTCTATCCTTTCCAATCGGTCAACCTCACTTCGTATGGATGGTTATCTGTCCCCTTCTTTCGCCTTAAACTGCGGTCTTCCTCAAGGATCTCCTCTTTCACCCATCCTTTATATCATTTACAATTCGAATCTTCTTATTAGTAATCCCCTCAATCTTTTTCAAGATAAAATTTCCCTGGGTTTTATCGACGACGTCACACATTTTGTAGCTGAAAGACAACTTGAGAGTTCTATTTCTTCACTAGAATGTGAAGGAGATCGTTCGTTAGAATGGGGTAGAAGAAACAATGTGATCTTCGACAAGAAAAAAGCTAATTTTATGATTTTTACTCACAAAAAAGTTGATGTTCGACCTTTTCGACTCGGTGATATTCGCATGTCAAAATCTGATTCAGTCAAATACCTCGGAATTATTCTGGATCCTCAACTCTCTTTCAAGCTTCACCTAAACAAAGTCAAAAAATGTGGAATCAATTCAATAGGCCAACTTAATCGAATTTCTCGATGTTCTTTTGGTTTGGGTTTACAACAGTCCAAGAATCTGATTATTAGTGTCCTTCGTTCCAGGATCCTTTATGGAAGTTGTATCTGGGCATCCAAAAGAAATGAACTGGCAGTCAAAAATGTAATTAGTAAAATTAATAATCAGGCTAACAGAGTTATTCTCGGCGTTTTTAGAACCACTCCGTGCAAATTCCTTGATAGAGATTCACCGCTCATTCCTTTTTTTGATGTTTTGAAAAGGAAAAATCATTTGTATGTTTGTAAAAAATTAACAGCTGTCAATAGTCATCCAATTAGGCAACTCATCAACCACGAAATCAACAATTTACCTCGATCTCATTTGTCCTCGATCCACAACCTTCTCGATAATCACCTTCTTCCAGAATACGACCTTCAATCTCTGGAAACAATCAAATTCCATGTCATCCCTCCCTGGTCCGACTTCTCTTTTGATGTGGTCAACTTAAACATCAAAAAAGAAAAAGCTAAAGAAATTGTTACTAACCAAATTTCTGACAAAAAAAATAAAAAAGAGATCCTTCTTTTTTCTGATGGTTCCAATATTCCAGATAAAGGAACGGCCTCAGCAGCTTTGTTGAACAACTCGATTTCGTTCGCCTGTAGAATCAATGACGCAGACAAAGCTTCGGCTTATGAAGCTGAGGTTCAAGCAATCAACATAGGCCTCGATATTATCAACAATGAAGCTCAAAGAAACAACTTACAATCATTCAAAAATATCAACATCTTTTCCGATAATCAGGCCACCCTTCAAGTCATCGCCAAACCGCCAATGTCGAAATCGTATCAATCAACTTTTATCCAGATTTTCGACAAGTTGAATAATCTGATATCCGACTTTCATTTTTCGTTTTCTCTTCTTTGGTGCCCAGCACACGTCGGTATTCCAGAGAATGAGAAGGTTGATCAACTCGCTAAGGAAGCTACAGAAGGCAATCAACTTTTCAACCTCGAACGCCAAACTAGATCTCTCTCCAACATTCAACAAATCGTCAATTCCAGATTCAAATTTGTCAAAAAGAAGAGTCCGATAATTCGCAATCAAATTTCATTATCCAACATACCGATTAAAATCTTCAACTCGTTGAATCAACTTGAGCGGGGTTTATCCTCGACGATTTATCAACTCCGAGCGGGTCATTCACCACTCAACGACTTTCTTTTTCGCATCGACAAAATCGATTCGCCAAATTGCATCCACTGTCAGTCACCGGAAACAGTCAAACACTTCCTGATCCAATGCAGAAGATTCGACCAACAAAGAAAAATATTTCGATCTCGATTAATATCAAATAAAATCAAAATCAATCCGAATTCGTTGAAGGACCTACTCGACAATCCATTGGTTTTCGAAATTCTTTCAAAATTCATCATCGATACCAAACGTTTCAACAATATCAAGACTTATACTGAAGTGGATTAAAAAAAAAAAAATATCAGTTTGCGGTTTTTTTTTATTTTTCTTTTTTGTTATCTTCTTTCATGCGTGATCTCTTCTTTTCTTCTCTTTCAATTTAAAAAAAAAAAATGTGTTATCAAACTCACAAGTTATCTTTTCTTATAAAACTGGTATTTTTCGGTAGGGTAATCGGGCTGAATCCTAAATTTAGGTCGGGTTCGGTTATCTTTCTGCCCGCTTTAAATCTAGGGTATGTGGCTTGAGCAACCACATAACACACTGTCTGGGCCGCAGTTGTGACGAAAGTTAATCGGACTCGGCTTCATATGAGGGGTTTAGTTTCGTTAAAAGAGATGGAATTTTCATGTTATCTTTCTTTTTCTGGGCGCATTTTCTTTTTTTATCTTTTTTCTTTGTCTTCTCGAATTTTTTATCATCTTTAACAATTAAAGCTATAAATATTTTTTAATATTCAATCATGTATTTTTCAAAACATCATCGCATGTATATAGACACTAGTATTCACTAAAGTGCGCAATGTCAAATCAATAAGCACTAAAAAAAAAAAAAAAAAAAAAAAAAAAAAAAAAAAAAACTCTGCTGTGTGCTCGTCACTCAGTTCACAGACATGTCACAGACTTCACAGTACTATATATATCGGGACCAAACGTCAGCTTGTCTTCCTCATCCTTTCCAACAACTCACTTTGGCTCCAGTACCAGGTATGTACCCATTGTCTTGTTTTCTCTCTCATTCATTTATCTTCAGTGCTTTCTCTCTTTTTTGTTTTCTTCTAATTTTATTTCTCTCTATCATATTGTACACCCAGTCATGCTAATCTTGTCCTTCCACAAAACTCACTTCTGTCCCCAGATCTTCCATCTCATCACATTTCGCCGTTGCATTCGTGCTAGATTTGTTCAATCGGTCAATCGACTCCAAAAATGCTCGATCAGGAAGATCCTCTCGACTCGCTTGCGAGGATACTCTGCTCTAATTTTCGATCGGGCGGTACGGATGGGAACACGCAAGAAGACGACTCGTTTGCGAGGATGCTCAGCTCTTTCCGATCGAGCAATCCGGATCGGAAGACTGAAGAAGACTACCTGGGTAAGTCTGGTCTCACGATTCGAGTCTAGGTGATCATCAGCCATCCTGTTTCTAACCTCTGGTGTGCACCTCTACCAAGAAATTATCAGGGATGTAATCGGTCATCTCCACAAACGAGTGGGCATCACCAGAGTTATGAAGATGTTTGAGATACTACAGTCTGAAAGTGAGACTCTATGTCAAATGGAACAGATAATCTTGCCGGGCTTGAAAGAAAAGCTACGGTCATTATCACTCGCTTATAACTCACCCAACTCGCACAATGATGCAAAGTGCTGGTACGAGGCGATTTTGAACGACTTGATCAAAATCAACAACTATCTGGAGCAGCTTGAGAAGTCGATGGGCTCGCCTCGGCGCCAAGACATGCCCCAAAAACGAATCTTTCCATTCAGAGTCCGTGTTGTTTCACGTCAGATTGCCCACTTGTTTGCCGGGGGACTTCGACCATTATTTGCGGCCTGTCACACGTTTTTCGACCAGTTCACTTTTTCCAACCCGTCCACTTCAAGGGCCGATCAAGCAGATGAAATCGGTAGACTGACAACTTTATCCGTTGAGCAAATTGACGCTGTATTTCTAACAATCCAAAAACCTTTGTTGCGAGTGGCAAAAGAGGAATGGAAAGCGTCCAAAAATCTTGAGGAACTGGATCCCGACGCGCCTGACAGGGATGAGTTGCTTACGGAAGCCGAGAAAGCAAAACGAGACCAGTTATCCAAAGTCGCGACTCCCATCAGCAAATTATTTCGGATTTATTTCAATCAACTTTCCCGATCTAGGCCCACTCAGCCATTAATCTTTGGATCTCCATCGATGGAGATGAAAGAGGATCAATTGAATCTATATTTCCAAGTCGCCCAGGATACTGATGATGCCTTGCATGAATTTTTGGACACGAGCATCTTAGAACCAACGGATCGTTATGCTCTTCGGGAAGTCACCCATGATCTCAAAGATAAGCGTGCTAGATTGTCGCGAATCCTAGAAACATATTGGGACTCCTTATTGCTCAAGGAGGATCCACGGGTCAATCGAGAGGCGATTGCCGAAGCTCGTCAATGGCTCGAATCTTGGAGCTCTCTGTTCTTCGTTGCGACTGACAAGTTCATGCAAGTTGCTGGTTGTAGAGGCCTCCGTCGATGATCACCTAATCGCAATACCGCTGACGAGGACCAGCCTAGAGTAGGACGCGATGCGGCACTGAGAATCAATTCAATTCCGGGTTGAGGGAAACTCGTCGGTCTCAACCCTTCCGAACTGTTTCCTGGATCTATATCGTCGATCTTGCGCAGGAGAAATGACTTCGGAAGGGTACTATTTGGGGAAGAACTGCATTTTTTTTTTATCTCAATATTTCATTCAGGTGACTTAATTGCGACCAATGGTTTCGTTTCTACTATCGCCACAACAAAAAAAAGTCTCTCACAAAACTTAATCAAGTGTAACCCCAGTATTCAAATATATAAACATTTCTTTTCCTCCAGATCTACATAAAAGTATAAAGAAAGTTTACAATTCTGATATCACCCAAAAATGTTTGTAACTCCAGTATTTGAATGTATTAACATGTCTTTCCTCCAGATGTAGTGGTAAAAGAAGAAGAAAAATAGTTGTAACTCCAGTATTCAAATGTATAAACATGTCTTTCCTCCAGATCTTGTGGTATGAAGAAGAAGAAAAAAATAGTTTAGTTGAGTTTTTAGAGTGGAGAGCCTTTGAATCCAGAGAGTACCAAACCAGAGCCAATCAAATTCAAAATGATTTCCACACAAGCTATACAGTTGGTTTTTGTTCTTTTCTATTTCATGCATTTTTCCTTTTGTTCCTAGTTTGGAAGAGGTTTTTCTCACACACATTGCGGATGGCAGGCAGCATTCCAGCTCACAAGTACTAGAATGTAAACCTCCACTCTCATGGGTCCTTTGCAAGTATATTCCTACTGTATAATGACATTGCCATGTGTGGGGAGTGAGGAAATTTTTGATTTCTTATGTAAGTAAGCTGATGAGAAACAAAGACAAAAGAAATCATAAGAACATTAATAGGACAAAATGATCTAACCTTAAAGCAAACAGCAGGAAAACAATGAAGAAGAAAGACATACACAATATAGAGTAGTAATCAAAGTAAAACAAGCTGAAGAATAAGATATGATTATCAATGTCTTGATCAGTGAATAAGAGAGAAAGAATCTTTTGAATGATAACCTACAATGATGATTGGAACAGATTACTGAATGATAGACTTGACAAGTAGTTGATAAGAAGGGAAGCACATGGTCAAGTCAGCAAGAGTTTTTTTAGAAGGGTAAGTGCTGGAAAGAAGGCTGGCAGGAGTTGATAATGAGTTGAGTCTAGTGATGAGAGGATAACAAGTATTTGATAGTAATGTTGTCTTTAGCAGAGGAACTGGAAAGATGAAGATAAGAAATGATCTAATGTATTGAAGTAGTTATAAATAACAACCACTTGAGTTCCCCAAGCAGAAGATCAAGAAAATTGGAGGAAAAGAGGGTAGATTATATACGTGAGATCCAAAACCAACTTTGTGGTGCGCATAGACATCAGAGCGCATGGCTATCCAGATAAGAAATGATATCATGTGTCATGGCAATTTAGGGGTAAATGAGAGTATAGAGGGATAGAATAATGAGCACGGTGGTGCTCAGATTTCAACAAACAAGCCGCTAAATTTGAATTTGCTGGCAGTGAACCAGATTTTTACCTATGAGGAAATAAAATGAAAAATTAACCATAATAGCAACTAGCAGTAAGTTCCTGCATTGAAATATGCACTCCACTCAAACACAAGTTTCAATTCTTCCCATTGAAGTTGCACCAGGAAAAATCAATTATCACTTGACAGCAAGTGATATCTCATATTAGTGGGATTCAAAGTTGATTTTTAAACAGGAGTCTACATAAATTCACAAGGTCTAGAGGTTCAAAATTTCAGTTTTCTGAAACTTCTGGCTCCGCTTGGTTTGGAACATTTCTCAAAAGTTCTGTTATCTTGATGATGTTGTGTAGAATTTTGTTCAAAAATCAAATTTGAAACCCCCTATTACAAAGGGGCCTTGGAAGTTTATAGTTTTGGATGTCACTTGACATTAAGTGATTATTGGTTTTTCCTGGTGATGTGTGATGTGTGAGGTGGAGAACATTTTAAGACTTACAATTGGTGGTAGTGTGAAATTTGTTAACAGGTATTTCAGTTTCTGAAACTTGAATTTCTTTGCATGTAATTGTATATCTTTGGATCCCAATGTCATAGGGACATTGTAGAAGATGAAAGTCTTGGCTAACCACACCTGAAATGTGTGTTTGTATCAAAACTCAGTGGGACCTTTTTTGACTGAGGATGTGGGATGTGGAGACAGTTATAAACCTTAAAGTTACACTTTGTAGAAGTGTGACAGCTGTGATGCAGTACAACAAGGTGCAATTCCAAATGTTTCATCATGGAACTACCATCCCAGATATTGACTCAAAAATGAGTGAAAACTTGACCCAATGATGCTGTATGACATGAAGAAATGTCTGAAAATTGCATTTAATGTGAGTAAACAGCCATTACCCTATAATAAAAACATTTGAAACTTTCCACACTTGACAGTATGGAAGTATTTATAAAGCCAAACACCCATCAAACAAGCATAACACTAAAAAATTGTTAAAATACAAACAATTGTAAGGTTGTGTGACATGGTGAAACAAACACACTTGATTGTTTGAATACAGCTGTTTGCACATGGCAAAGCCTTTCACTGGAATTTCTTGACAGTATGATACCTGTTAAACTATCCCATTGGGTAAATGTAATTTCCAATTGCCAGGAAAGAAACCATATGTGTTTCACTCATACAGTACAGAGGCTTTGAATTCCTGACGCAGTGTGACAGCACAGATCTTCTGATGTGGGGAAAATGCAACATTTTGACAAATGAGACTTGTGGGGCATGAAATAATTCACATCCAAACACATAGGAATAGGATCAATTGAGATTGTATACATTTCATACAAATTTTCAACTTTTTACAGAGCTATCCCAATCCAAACAGTACAGCCACTTGGATTTGGTTTCATTTTTCTTCAAAAAAATCATCCAAAGTATCATATCATGTAAATTTTAATGTTTCATTTGGTGAAAGTCCACTGCCATAATCACCCATCTATAAAGGGCATGCATCTCTTTTCCTCAATATTCTAATAAAATTATACAAACTTCTGCCTGGTCAAAAAGCCAATAAATTCAATTAAATACTCCAGCAAAATAAATTCCACAATCAGAAAATCACCACTTAAGAATTGGAAAATTTTGAAAAAATTACCAGCAGACTTTCCACCGAGTCTGACATATCCCCCCCCCCCCAAAAGAAAAAAATACCTGCCACTCTACCATGATTTAACCATTGATTGGGTTGATGTCTTCTATTGAATGAGACTCACATAATAAAGATCACTGATAATTCTACTCAACTTCAAGGTTTCTTTGGACATCATTTGACTAATTATCTGAGTTTAATGGATGGAATTGGATGTGATAATTAACAAGGTTTTTGCTTTTTCATCAGTCACAATCACATGCTGGGATTTGGAAAGTATATCATTGGAAATTGAAAATGTTCCTTTTTTCTGTTTTTCTGTTTTTTTTTTTTTTTTTTTTTTTTCACTCAAACACAAGATATATGGCCCTCTGATTTTGGAGAAGCCTTGGTTTTGATTTTTGAGTTTATTGAAGAGTTTTCTTTTTGCTAGTGGGTGAGATTTGAACCTTCAGGGTCAGAATTTGAGATTCAGATTGGAAAACACTGGTAACAAATTTAGGATGGGACAATGTCATTTACAATTCCTCCTTTTCTTCAATACATTACCTTTTCCTAAATTTATTACCAGTAATATACAATATTAATCTCAAATTCTGACCCTGAAGGATCAAATCTCACCCACTGGCAAAAAAAACTCTATTCAATAAACTCAAAAATCAAAACCAAGGCCAAAATCAGTGAGCCATGTGTCTTATGTTTAAGTGAAAAACAGAAAAAAAGAAACATTCTCATTTTCAATTGATATATTTTCCAAATCCCAGCATGTGATTCTGACTGATTAGAAAGCAGGAAACCTTCTTTATTGCATCCAATTCCATCCATTAAAATCAGATAATTAGCCAACTAATGAAGAAACCTTGAAGTTGGGTAGAATGGTTAGGGATCTCTATTAACTGAATCTCAATAGAGGACACCAACCCAATCAATGGTTACTTCATGGCAGAGTGACAGGCATTGGTTTTTGGGAAGGATATTACAGTGTAAAATCTGCTGGTAAGAGTGTAAGAACCATGCATTTGTTCTTCACTGACAATGTTGATAGGTTTCTAACAGACTCAATAGTCTGAGGGAAAGATTAGAGAACCAATGATTGTCTGTTTATTTCCATCAGCTATCTCAGAAGGGATGGTGGTTAGGATCTATGTCACAAACAACAATGAACAAGAAGGAAGAGAAAAAGAACCTACATGAAGAATGAAGAGAAGTGGGGTCCAAGCCCTGGTGGAGACTATCCGGCCACCCCCTATCCCCGGCGGAGACTATCCGGCCAGCCCCTATCCCCGGCGGAGACTATCCGGCCACCCCCTATCCCCGGTGGAGACTCCGGCTGGTCTATGACGTATTCTAGAACGTTTCCGCGGTCACGCACCTTTCGAACACTCACCTTTAACTCGAAGACTCCTCCACAAACTCCAACAACCTTCTCCAGCCAAAAACACGCCCTCCTCGCAGAATCTCGAATAAAAACGTACGTTCTGCTTAACTATATCCCTGATCTCTTTTCACAGCTCTCTTTGAGCAACATTCAACTGGCTAATCTATCTCGTACTGATTTGAATGAATCGATAACAGTCACAGAAGAAGCCCATAGGAAAAAGAGCTCAAAGATGTCCGAAACCCAAACCTACACCGACGAAAACGGCGCCCAAATCATCGTCTGCCAGCCCGACCAATTAGAGCATTGTGGACGCTGTCAGATGGACTTCACGGAAATCAATGACGAAGCTAGAGCCGAAGCTGCTATCGCTGCCGGAAAAGAGCCGAACGATGACTTCTAACTGGGACTGGCGTATGGAACTTCCGTCGCGTCCCGATTAACTGTCACCCCTCGGTAGGGGATCCCTTAACAATCATCCGCGTGCTCTTATCGTCGATCTGACGCTGGAGAACGAGCTTCGAAAATACATCAATTTGTGAAGATTTACTTTCTTATTCTGATGATGCTGCCGACTGTCTGATCTCCTCTCCTCACCGACCATTGTACGTCACTGAAAGCTTCCAGCTCTTGTATTCGAATGTATACTCTCTTCCCCTCTGGACCCAGCGGTATGAAGAAAGAAATTAGTCTGAGCTCCTTATAGATCGAGCCAAACAACCGTGTTACCTGGCTGGCCACGAATGCCGATTAGACATGAGGGATTTAGCTTTACTTGAGGCAACAATGATGACGTGTCGACACGACCGCTGCCAACACACTTATAAGCAGGGAGACTCTTTCATCAGCGGGTTGGATGCCTGCATGCCAGGGAAAGGCCCTTCCAAGCACCTCGTGTAGGGGGATATCGTCTCCCTCGACGAGAAGGTAAGTAAGACCCTTGTGAGTTGTAGAGAGAACCTCTCCGATCCACAGGCGCGGTAGCTGCTCTGCTCATCTGCAATGAAGAAGCACCACAGCGAGCTAGTTCCATAGTTGCTCAGGCTCGGCAAGAAACTCTTCCAGTAAGCAGATACATAAATGAGCAGACAATACACGTGCTCGCCAGAGGTGAATACTCGGCAATCCTGGTCTACTTCCTGCTCCGGCTTGCAAGGCAAGAGTATACCTCTCGACCAGGGGCAGGCACAGTGCCTATTCGCCGGAGAGCAAACCCACTCGCCAATTAAGTAGTACATACACCATTGCTTCTTGCCGATGGAGAAGCTGCTCGGAAAACAGAGCTCTGCTTCAAGAGCAGCTTCGGTAACAAATCGCCGACGAGCTTGCAGGACACCTGGCTCGCTCGCTCGACAAGCAGCTTCCATGCCTACTCGCCGGAGATAAAACCCCTCCACCACTAGCAGATGTGGTAACTTCTTGCCGGGGAACAGGGCTAATGTTATAATCGCCTCGGGTTAGAAAGCCGGTGAAGTACCTGGTTGTCACAGAGGGAATCTGACCCGCGTGACGAGCAGTGCGGCTCCTACTTATAGGGAGTCAGGACTACACAAGGACCTGTGTAGCGCCTGTTCCCCCGGTATCAATGACGAGCAGGTTCAGTACAGGCTGCAGAAAGCCGAACGGGAACAGATCTTTCCCCGACCATTGCATAGTTTCTGTTACTCTCCTCCTTCCGAAACCTAGCTAGCTCTGAACTTCAGTAGCACATACACTGTTGTTCTTATGGACAGATCTGCTCGCAACTGTTAGCCCCACCTGGGACATACTTTGGAAGAGGAAGTATCATCACAGTTATTACTGGATTGGACCCATGTCTAAACCCAAAAAAAAAAAAATCAGGTCAATTATCCTGAAAAACTAGATTAATATTGAAGAGAGTGTTAAATGTCCGGCATTATGTAAGTATGTATATATGTGTGTTGAAAGTTTTGGAAATGGATCAAAAAAGATACATGGAGAAAGAGAAAGAGCAAGAGAAAGAGAGGGAAGAAAAGAACACAAAAAAAAAATGAGAAATCGATGGGGAAAAAAAGGTATACAAAGAGGGAGATAATAGGAAGCCGAGAGGCTGGAGTGTAGCTCAAGAAGGCTGAGCGTTCAGAATGATCGAGTCGGATTGCGCGATAAGTCTGTTGATTTTGAGCAAGAGATTGTCGACAGATTGGGAAGCAAGTTCGAGTTGATGGACGACAGTGGGCTGAGAATTAGGCTGACTATCAAGACGACGAGGAGGAGGATGCTGCTGCTGCTGATGATTGTGCTAAAGGGGGGCGAGATGAGGGAAGAAGTTTGGGCAAAGGGGTAG